CTGGCACATAGTAGATGACCAATAAGTATTTACTGAGTGAACGAACGAATGAATACATCTGCCTCCTACCTAGGAATGCCATGTTTTCCCTTAGAATTCTAGCGCTATGTGCAGAAGCTCAGACAATGAGCAGAATGAAGGCTGTGTCTTTCCTCACAACAATTCCCAGGTACTCCAATCAAAGCTGCCAGAAAATAGTATTTGAAGACTAAAGTCGTCCTAGCTGCCTTCCAATCCTTCCAGCTAACCCTCTACCAGTTTAGAAACTCTCCTGACAATTGTCCTGGTGAACTTAAGCCCTTGCCACTTACTGCCCCAAGGCACAGACCCTCCAGTTTCTGTTGAAGCTGAGTATGGTGGCCATCTCCTCATCATTCAGTTTAAAGTCAAAGACCTGAAAAGGTGAGAGTTCCACACAGTCACTGGTAAGGTAATTACTGGTAAGATTTGAGATCTTCATCCACCCTAGCAGGCTCACAGCCACAGTGCATACCTCCTCTGCTGCTGGGAGGCAGACATGCAGGGCAGTAGCTCCTGGGTGGTGTCCTATGACCTCACTGCTCAGGGGCAACCAAGGGTTTCTCAGTGGTGTGAGGCACAGCTGTGCTCACATCTGACAGGGCTTTACCGGTGACTGCCCCCAGCTTGTCCTTGGCCTATGGGCCATTCATGTCACCTCTACTGAGGTCAGCTTCCCAGCCTGAGAGATGACAGGGTGTTGGGAAGGGGGAAGTGCCCACAGACACTGCAGGGACAGAATGTGAAGCCCAGTGAGAGGTTCTCCCCTGTCCCATACCCCACTGAGAAATACCAGGTCCGACCAGCCAGGCCTTACCTGAAAGTTCTCAACAATGCGTGTCCGTGTCGCAGACTTGGGGATCACAGCCACATTCCTCTGAACCTGAAACCGGAGCAGAACCTGTGCAGAAAGAGGACATGATGTTTCCACTGTCTACAAGGACCACCCTGCCACTAAAAGGAAAAATCAGATACCTCTGTAGCTCACTGTGGGTTCGTTACAACGATCATTGACTGAGCACCTTAATAGCTAATGAAACACTTGCCAGTCCTTTGGTTGACTCCCTGAATTCTAGCAACGACTCTCTAATTTTCCTTTATTCCTTCCTCTTTTGGCTGGGGGTCATAAGTCTGATAAGTGATAGAGTTTGGATCTGAACGCAGATCTCTAGACTCCAAAGCCATGCTCTCCCTCTGCTACTGGACTCAACAGGAAGGTGCTGGAGAGAGGCTTTCCTTGTTTCAGTGATGTTTGCTGTATTTCCTGGTGATCTCAATGGACTTTCGAGGAAGCAGTTACTGGGTTTCATTTTCAGTTTTATTTTTTTCTTTTCTTTTTTTTTCACGAAGTTAAATAAAGACAACACAAGGAATAAAATGCAATACTAGAAGAATGGATTGCCGGATTAAAAAGAAAAAATATCACATTGTACCTGGGCTGTAGATTTTTTGTGTTTTGCAGCTATTTCTTTAATCTTGGGATCCTCCAGTATGGAAGGGTCCTCTGGCTTGGCCCTAGAGGCAAAAAGATAGCTGGTGTGACTGATCACCAAGGTTACCACAAGCAGATGAACATCTCTCCAGGGGTGGTCTCTGGGCTGGTCATCAAAGCCCTCTCCATCTGCCAGTCAGGAGGAGCTGAAAGCTTTGAGTCTTTCCCAAGGGCCCACCCATGGGCTCTGAAGCCTCAGCAGGTTGCAAAGTCTGTTCCAGCCTTGGGAGATTGAACTGGAGAAGTCACAGAGGGTCTGGCATTGTTGCAAGTTTTTTTGTAATTCCCATTTTTTACCATGGTGATCCCGTTTGGGTGTGACAAACAAATTATCTTAGACTCATTTTTCTTCCCCGAGACTTATACTCTCATACGTTATGTACTCTCACTACATTAATGAATTATGAAATAATATATATATATTTTTTGGTCTTTTTTTGAGATCGGCCACATGGCACTCAGCCAGTGAGCGCACCGGCCATCCCTATATAGGATCTCAACCAGCGGCGGGAGCGCTGCTGTGCTCCCAGGAGCGCCGCACTCTCCCGAGTGCACCACGGGCTTGGCCCTGAAATAATATTTTTCAGAGTGTCAAGAGAAAGACCCACCACTGGGAAGCCTCACCAAGGTCTATCCGGGGAGCCCAGGGGGCTATAGGCCGTGACCGTGATGCCCTTGGAGTGGCAGTACTGGATCAGTTTCTCCTGCGTGAGGTATGGGTGACACTCGATCTGCAAACGCAAATAATCCCCATCACTAGGGCAGCTGAACTGCTTTTTCAGCTGCTCATGTGGAGTTCTACACACAAATAACACCACCAAGCCTAGGCCAAACACCTGGCCTCTGATAGATCTGCTACACCAGAACCCAAGATCTGCCTCGCACCTCCCCAAACTGTCCTCATCACTGACCCCTGACATGAGACTCAGTACATAGTATTGAACCTGCCTCCAAATGTTTAAGAAGTAACAGGACAAGAATCTTCACCTTTCACTAAGCAGACGTTACCTGGTTAGTCACTGGTCTATGTTTCAGGCCAGGTTTGTTCAAGAGCCTTTCGATCTGGAAGTGGTTGAAGTTGGAGACACCAAGGGCTTTCACCAGCCCCTCATCCACCAGCTCCTCCATGACCTGTCATAGAGAAGAATACCACTGGGCAGTCCTAGAGTGATATCAGGGACCCTAGCTTGGCTTAGTCCTCTCTGGGGCAGGGGAGGTTGAGACAGGATCCCGGCAGCAGGGTTCACTGAAGTATTAAAAGGAAGTTTCAATCCAGGCCATGGGTGCCATCAAGGATTGTTTCCAGCCCTATGCCCATCCATAGCCCAAATGAAAAAGGAGTTAAAGGTGAAGGTCTTATGTGCTTTCCACTCTCACCTGTGGCAATAAGGGTACTTTTTGCACAGGTCAATGACATAACTGCCATTCTTAATATCATTGTAAGAGCTAGCGCGTGAAATCTTGTAGACTCCACATTAGATACATGCTAGTCTCCACATCTCACAATGAGTAATCCCTAATATATTGAAGAGGTCTTGTTTTACTTGGGTGATATACATGACAGAGCCCTCCTATTGAATTTCCTGTTAAGCTGAGTGCAAAAATCTAAAGCTATCTTGTTAGTTTTGCCTCAAATTTTATTCTCGTAATAAAATATTTCTTGATTTGAGTTCATGCACATAAGCCATTATATAAACCATCAATTGGAAAATGTTTCTCTAACAAGAAGTTGTTCCTGCCAGGTATCTGCTAAGCTGAGTACAAAGTTCTTAGGCTATCTTGTGAGTCTTGACTCAATTTTTATTCTCAGAATAAAATATTTGTTGGTTTGAGCCCATGCACATAAACCATTATATAATTCATTAAACCATCAATTGGAAAATGTTTCTCTAACAGGAAGTTGTTCATGCCAGGTAAATAAATATGTTGATCTTTTTTTAACAGTTAAGTACCAGAATTCAAGTTTCTTTTGATGAGTGCAATTTTGTCACTAGAAGAGAGAAAGTAACATCTTTTCTTGAAGGCTCAGGCTAAATGAATTACTTTTATTGGCTGTATCAAAAAATTATTAAAGATTATGCAGTTGCATAATGACTTGTGTAGTCATTACAGCAAAAGAAACATATATTTATATATATATATAAAAATCATTTTTTCAACTTGTAGTTTGAACCCTGTTTCTAACATGTGGGCTCAACCATCTCACAGCTCACACAGAACTGATGTTCCGTGACATTTCATAATGGATTTATATTTAATTATAGGAGGAAGGTAGCAGATATGTATGACAAATTGATGCCTTCATAGATTTTACCAAGTGTATTTGATTTATTTCTACATATAGGAGTTGTTCATGAGATACAATATTTCCAATAATTTCCTTTTTGATCTTAATTACATAAATCATTGTTTTTTGATTCTTGCTAATTTTGAGTTGCAGAGAACCTAGCCAAAAATGATATTACTTTGCCAAGAAAATTGAACGGTAACATCACAGATAGCTCTTTTTATTGTTGATACTTTTTCCTTTGCTTTTGTTTATTTGTTTGTTTTGGGTTTTTTTTACATACAACACCGAGAGCTTCAGAACAGTCTTTAAAACCCATCCATAGAAATCCACATAGTTTTATTCCATACTACCTTTTAACAGGCTTTCTGCTCTTAGTGGGCAAATTAAAAGATTTACTTGTCAAAGACAATTCCTTTCAGACACATTTTCCATGTTGCTAACAAGCCATTATGAGATGATCATTTTCTGCTTCATTACTCTCTCCCTCAGTATCACTTCAGTTTTGCTATCTAAATTTTCCTACTGCTAGTTTGTTAAAGTTCAAAGCAGCAAGAAATCTGTGCTTGTGGATAAATACTTTTGAACCAACAATCCCCAGAAAAGTTACACTTAATTTATTCGTAGCAATGCTATGCTCTTCAGAAAGGTTACACAATACATTTTCAAGCTGTAAAACATAGCACAAAATCACAACTACATGTGCCCCACACAGATGCTGACAAAATAACCTGGTTGAGTCTTGGAGTCTTTCTATCATGATTCATTTTCAGCTCATTCATTAGCTTTCTTCTGTACCAACTTTTGCGAGAGGATGCAATGGTTTAAGAAAAAATTATCGGAGAAAAACTTTCATCCCTTCATTCTTTCCTCAGTATGAATTGTGTGAAAAGGTCATTATTTGATGTGAGAAGCAGAGCACTCATGTTCCTGACCTCTGCATGTGCATTCACTGTCTGCCCAGCACAGTGCTCGAGGCTCTGTGGTTGGACTTGTGAGTCAGAGAGCCCTGGGTCCAGTCCCACCTGTGCCACACACTTGCTCTATGATCTGGACTAGTCACTAACTGATCTAATTCTCAGTTTTATCATTTGTAATTGGAGAAAATAACCCAGTCTTGTAAGGTTCAATGATTAAATGGCTCTATGACTAATGTTTCCATCACATTAGCTACCTTAAACTTTACCAGACCCTGAAAGATATGTATTATTAGCATTTATTGTCAGTTTTTTTAACATGAGGAAACTGTGACTGCAGGAGGGAAATGACTTACTCTGAGCTACTCAGCTAATACATGTGAAGAATCCTTGTTCCAGAGGCCTCCCCTGGTTGGAGAACAGCACGAGTGTCTCCCAAATTTGGGTACATTACATTTCAAGTCTCATTGGAGGACTCAGCCTTAACCTTCAAAATGTAAATTGTGGCAGATGGACCCAAAGCCAAAGTTGAAGAGGAAGGAGTTAGGAGGACTAGAGAATAACAATGATGAAATTAACAACAGGCCCATGGGCTGTTTCATATCAATGTGGAGTCCCCAGGATGCCTGAAGGAAAGTTTTCTCCAATGCACACTTACTAGAAGCTGGAACCTACCTCCCATGCATCCAAGAATGTTGCTTTGCTGGGAAGGATCTTGCCTTTATCGTCTGTGGGGAACAAGTCAGATCCAGGCTGTAAAGGCAGAACAAAAAGCTTCCAGGAATCTGCATCTGGACACCTGGTCCTGCTAAACAAGGTTTCAGGAGCCTAACTCATGCCATACCCATATTTTCACACCATTTTTTCAAGCTCCTGAGGACACACTTGAAGAATGGAAGGTGAAATAAAATCTCTGTACCGATCTACTGTAGTATGTAAACCCTTATAATTTAGGAAATGCCAAATTAATTTTAAAATCCAGCCATCATTATCATCATGAACATTTACCTCATATACCCAGACCCCACACACAATTTGGGAGAAATTTAATCTCCAGATCAATAGACATGAAGTGGATCTGAAGAGTGTGGTTTCCTGGGGAAGATATTGGCCAACATCTATGCTTGCAGCCTCTGGAAGCTTGGAGTTGGTCAGGAGGGGAGCGAGCTGGGAATTTGTGCCCCCCACCTCTCAGCAGCAGGCAGGTGCAGAGCCTGGCAGTGAGCCTGGCTGCTTCTTTGGTGAGCACTGGCCACCTTCTAGCACCACCATACTTGGGCTTTTATTCAGGAGACCACTCCCAGGGTGTGCTTGGTTTAGGAAAAGGGTGGAGCCCAGAAATGTTTTTATGCAAGAGATTCTCAAGTGATGTCCTGGGAGGGAACTCTGCCCATGGAAAGAAGACAAAGGGATGTGGCATTGCAGCTGTCTGGGTGCCAGAAACCCTGGTTTCTCTCATCCAGAACTGCGAGAAAACCCAGGCATGGCCACTGCAGCAGCCACACATGGCCTCAGCCTCCCTTCCCGGCCAGTGCCTTACTGTTCCTTCATCTCCTCCTCGCCACCTGTGGTTTGAGTCATGCCAGACCTCTTAGGTGAGCCCACAACACCCCCAGCCATGACACGACTGTTATTTTCTGGCATCGGCTCAGGAACTAGAGACTGGGGCAGGGAGTCACTCAAACCTGAAATCCCACTGGCCAGTGAACAAGATAGATGTCCAGATAGTCCAGTTTCAGATCCTGGAGGGTCTTCTGAAAGGCTTTCCTAACCAGGGTCTTCTCAAAGAAGGTGGGCCACAGCTGCCAAGAGTGTAACGAGGAGGCGTTAGTAGTGGGGAAAGAGCAGGCCACATCAGACTCATTTCCCCACTTCTTCAGGTGCACCCCCACCTAACCTGGGGACGGGCCATTTATAGCAGAATTGGTTAAGACACATGATCCAGAGTGCAAGGTCACCAGGACTCAGCAAGTCGATGGCATCCTGTAACTGTTGAGAGCACTTTGTTTTGTCAACTCCCCTACTAATCTTTGTGTCTCTCGCATTATCTAGCAAAGTTGGCCACTGCTTTGGTCTTTCTTCAGTTGTGTTACTCCCTTCCCTGGCTGTCAGCCTCTGAGGGAGTGATCGTGTCTAGCTTGTAAAGTTCAAGCAGTCTTAGGTCTTTAGGAGCAGGTCGTCCTTTTTCTGCACTTTCTAGCTCCAAGCCTATCAGGCTTAAAAGGGATGACTCTTCAAGGCCTTTATCCAGACTTATTAACTACAGACAGTGGGGTCTGCTTGTCCCTCCAGATGCACTTGCCAAGCACCTGTAGCTAGTGTTTTTTAGCCAGTTGTGTATAATACAGATCCAGTGATTCTCAACCCACTCACACACAACACCCCCCTTCTTTTTATAACATTTTGTAACTCATTTTTCACTAGACTGAAAGAAAAAGAAATTCATATGAGAAATTAAAGAATGTTCCTCCCCATTTTCCCCTGGTTGAAACCCTCAGGGCTATATCCACTGAGATCCCAGCGCTGAAAGGCTGTCTTCAGGATCAATGCGTGACTGCACCCTTCGCCTCTGACTGCCACTGGCAGGTGGATCCCACTGACAGAGAACAGAGAGGCCACGGGCACCGCAGGACACAGAGAGCCATCCTCAGTATGGGAAAAGCAACTCAGCGGTGGGTACGGTGGTGGCAACATGTCCATGTGCCAGTACTGGTCTGGCGTGTGGATACGTTTGCATCCAGGTGTATCTCAAGGCAGAGACAGAGAGGGCTGGGGGAAGTAAGTATATGGAGGAAAGGCTGACAGAATTCTTGGTGCTGACCAAGTCCAGATCCTTGCACGTGTCTGGAGGCTAACTAAGTCCTCACACCAAAGGAGCCACAGATACCTTGCTGACGATGAACAGCTCCTCCCTCTTCACGGCCTTCTCCTGGATCTTCTCCTGGATGGCCTCCCCCACCTCACTCTCATTGTTATAGACATAGGCACAGTCAATGTGGCGATATCCTGCATCAATGGCCACCTTCACAGCTTCTTTGACACTGCCTGGGGGAGACTAGAAGGCAACAGAAAGACCATCAAAGACTCTTTCCGCCAAGACCACTCCCAATAGGCTCTCCTGCATGGCCCAGCTTCACCTAACCCGGCATTATTGACATCCCATTTTCCAAGGGACACTGGGAGGAAAAGACACTTAGAAACTTTTCCAAAAAAAAAAAAGAAAGGGGGCAAAGTGAACTAATTTCATGAGTGTGGCCTCGTGTCCTATCCAGGCTAACAGTTAATTTTCTCATCCAGGCTAAACTTAAATGGGTTCAGTTGAGTGGAAGTGAGAGGTGCTCTCACTGCAACTTTCTGAAGATCAGGATGAAAACCGGACTCAAATAACTCTGAGCAAGTTTCAGACACGTTACAGCATAAGTCCAGCCGCCAGCACATACTAGGTGTGTGGGCTGAAACAGATTACTCAGTCTCTCTAAACTTTGCCTGCAAAATGGGAAAAATAATAGCAGGGTGGTGGCAACATGTCCATGTGCCAGTACTGGTCTGGCGTGTGGATACGTTTGCATCCAGGGGTATCTAAAGGCAGAGACAGAGAGGGCTGGGGGAAGTAAGTATATGGAGGAAAGGCTGACAGAATTCTTGGTGCTGACCAAGTCCAGATCCTTGCACGTGTCTGGAGGCTAACTAAGTCCTCACACCAAAGGAGCCACAGATACCTTGCTGACGATGAACATCTCCTCCCTCTTCACGGCCTTCTCCTGGATCTTCTCCTGGATGGCCTCCCCCACCTCACTCTCATTCTTATAGACATAGGCACAGTCAATGTGGCGATATCCTGCATCAATGGCCACCTTCACAGCTTCTTTGACACTGCCTGGAGGAGACTAGAAGGCAACAGAAAGACCATCAAAGACTCTTTCCGCCAAGACCACTCCCAATAGGCTCTCCTGCATGGCCCAGCTTCACCTAACCCGGCATTATTGACATCCCATTTTCCAAGGGACACTAGGAGGAAAAGACACTTTAGAAACTTTTCCAAAAAAAAAAGAGGAAAGGGGGCAAAGTGAACTAATTTTATGAGTGTGGCCTCGTGTCCTATCCAGGTTAACAGTTAATTTTCTCATCCAGGCTAAACTTAAATGGGTTCCGTTGAGTGGAAGTGACAAGTGCTCTCACTGCAACTTTCTGAAGATCAGGATGAAAACAGGACTTGAATAACCCAGAGCAAGTTTCAGACACATTACAGCATAAGTCCGGCCGCCAGCACATACTAGGTGTGTGGGCTGAAACAGATTACTCAGTCTCTCTAAACCTTGCCTGCAAAATGGGAAAAATAATAGCACCTGAGTCATGAGGTCCTTCTGTTTTTTTAGCACATCACCTGACACACGTTAAGGTTCAGCACATGTGGCCCATTATGTAATTGTTTTCAGAAAAAAGGCAGAAAACTGTATAAGAAATTTCTTTTCTACTTTCAAGACAAGACAAATAACTAAACAGCATCAGTAATACCCCATTCTGATTTAACCTAGCCAAACCAAACAGTGATGAAAAAAATAGCACTTATTACTGATCTTTCACGAAATCTTTTTTAAACCTCTTCTTCTGTGGAATAACTAACATACTGAAAAGTGTGGAAAAGGGAGATGACCAGCTGCACCACTGGGACAGGAAAGGACCCCGCATGCAGCTCAGAAGCTCCCCTAGTCCTCTCCGGCCGCTACCCCCTCTCCACTTATTAGTACACAATCCTTCAAAATTATATCATCCCATGCCTTGAACATGGCTCTCCTTATAATTCCTACACATAATTCTGATATTCTGAACATTTCTGGTAAATATGTACATGGTGAGCAGATTCCCTGGAGATCTGGACGTGATTATTTGTCACCTTTGTATGTATCTGAAGCTCTCATTTGGGGCCGATCGTGCTGTTTGAGCCAGAAAGGCTGAGAATGAATCAAGCTGGAATTGATCTGCTCACCCACATTGAGCAAGAATGCATCCCGAAAACCACCCAGTGCTGAATCAAAGAGGGATCCTGCTCTCTAGCCCAGGACAAGTGATGGGAAAGACACGTGCAAAGAAGGAGAGACCAAGGAGGAAGACTCCACAGGGAGAGCAGCCCTGAGGGACAAGAGAGAGAAGGAATCCAAAGATTGCTCCTGCTAACTAGTTAGGGTGGTGACATCATCGATGGCAATGGCCAAGAAGCAGAATGAGAAAATGATGGCCAATGTCACTCTTACATTAAGAGTCTCAGGAATCTGCGGCACTGAGCACTTACTACTCAGGGGGATGTGCCTTATAGCGTTTTGCCACCTGACATCGACACAGCCTGGGTGGAATCTGAGCTCCTGACTTTCAGCCCAGGCTGTGTGTGGGGGCAGCATTTCTCAGACCTGCATGTGCACGGGAATTACCTGGGGATCCTGTTAAAGTGCAGATGCCCATTCAGCAGCCTGTGCTGGGGCCTGAGAGTCTGCATTTCTAACAAGCTCCCAGGCCACCTGAGACTGCTCCAAGTCGCACACCACGAGCAGCAAGGGGTGCCAGCATTTTCAGAACTCTGCACCCTCTCCTCTCCACCTTCCAGCCAGCAGCAAACCCTTGACCAGGACCCCTGAAATGTTGAGCCCATTTAAGTGTTCTAGAGCCAGGGAGTGTCTTAGAGAAATGGCTGCTAAGAGAGAAACTGCCCTGGAAAACAACAGTGTTCTTTGAAGTGTAACCCCTGCTAGAAACTGGAAACAGAGAAGAGAAAATGCTCAAAGGCCCCTGGAAGAAAGCCGGTGTCCCAAGGTTTGCATATTTACCTTCCAAGTGCCCAGACCCACGATGGGCATCTTGGCTTTGGTACGAAGCTCCACGAAGGTGGCCATGGTTGGTGTAGAAAGTGTTCTGAGAGAGGAGAAAGGTGTCTTCTGTCTTATTAAGGGAGCTGGCACTGGTGCTGGGGGAGGAGCTGAAGCTCTGGCTTGGAGTAATTTCCTGCCCTGGCTAGAACAGAAAGTGTATTCCAGCCTTTTGTAAGATTAAGAATTACCGTGAATGGATTTTAAACCAGGCAACGTTGTTATACAAAGTCTTCTTGGTACAAAATGCATGAATTACTTTATGATTGATATTTAGGGGCTTTACCAATTTTTTGCATTTGGTTCTTTAATAAATGATAAATAAAAGTGCATGTATTTTAATTTGTATCTAATTGCTCTAAGATGTTAACTGGTTGGACAGGATTTTTTTATGCTAATATTCTTAATTTATTTATTTAGGAATTGGAGATTTGACCGGTTGTGTTTTTAATCAACTTTTACAATTCTGTGCCTTCCTTAAATAAAAAAACTTTGTGATTATAAAACGCTATATACTCACTATTTAAAAAATGTGAAATTATAGATTACAAATAAGGAAAAATAAATCATTTTTCTTTCCACCATTCAGGATACCATTGGCAGAATGCTGTTTTCTCCCAGCCTTTTTTCTGCATTTGTATAGGAGGGTACTTCCAAACGTTCATGGAAAGATTAGTATTATCTGTCAATTCTATTTTTCCATGAACTTTTGGAAGTACTCTCCTGTGAATGTATATGTATGTGTACATACATATATACATTTTGTTTTTTAATACCCTGAAATCTCAAGGTTTAGAAGATGACAGAACAGTGGAAACATCCCAGGAGACTTTCTCAGACCTGCCACACTGAGCACTAGGATGTGCTGAACTCTGCCTTGGTGGCCCCTGAGCTCCTCCAGCTCTGTGGGGTCCCTGCGCATCTCAGTCTCAATCATCTGGGGAGCCTCTTAAAGTGCAGATGCCCATTCAATAGTCTGGGGTAGAAATTGAGATTCTGCATTTCTTTTTTTTAAACAGCTTCATTGAGATATAATTCACATATAAAATTTGCCCATCAAAGTGTTCAATCTAATAGTTTTTAGTATGTTCACAGAGTTGTGCGATTATCACCATAATCAATTTTGGAGCATTTTCATCATCCAAGAAAGAAACTCCATAACCTTTAGCAGTCGCTCCCACTTTCTCTCCTCCCTGCATGTCCATCCCCGCCACCCCATTTTCTACCCCCACCCCTGATCCTGCCACAAACAATCACATTTCTACTTTCTTTCTCTGTACATTTGCTTATTCTGTCTCTATATATTTGACTATTCTGGACCTTTTTTTCTTTTTTGGTTATCTCATTGTAATTATATATCCTTTGACCAATAACCAATATCCCCCTCTCCCCTAGCTACCCAAGCCTCTGGTAACTGCCATTCTACAGTGTCCTTCTATGAGATCAGCTTTTTTAGATTTCATGTCTGAGTGAGATTATGTGATATTTATCTTTCTGTGACTGGCCTATTTCATTTAACACAATGTCCTTCAGATTCATCCATGTTGTCATAAATAATAGGATTTCATTCTTTTTTATGGCTGAATATATTGCATTGTGTATGTATACCACATTTCCTTTATCTATCCATTGATAAATACCTAGATTGATTCTATGTCTCGGCTGTTTTGAATACTGCTGCAATAAACATGGAAGTGTAGATATCTCTTTTCAACATAATGATTTCATTTCTTTTTGATTCATACCCACTAGTGGGATTGCTGGGTTTTTAAAAAAAAGAATCCCATTGTACCTGAACTGTGATTTCTTTGTGCTTTGTAGCAATCTCTTTAATCTTGGGATCCTTCAGAAGAGAAGGGTCCTCTGGCTTGGCTCTAGGGACAGAAAGATAGCCGGTGTAACTAAAAGTCACAGTTACCATAAGCGGATGTACATCTCTCCAGGGGTGGGCTCCAGGCAGGTCATCACAGTCTCTCCATCTTCCAGACAGTCAGGAGGAGCTGAAAGCTTTGAGTCTTTCCCGTGGGCCCACCCATGGGCTCTGAAGCCTCAGCAGTATGCAAAGCCTGTTCCAGCCCTGGGAGGCTGAACTGGAAAATTCACAGAGGGTCAGGCATGTTGCAAGTTTTTTTGTTTTGTTTTGTTTTTTTAATTCCTATTTTCTAGCATGATGATCCCATTTGAGTGTGACAAACACATTGCCTTAAACTCATTTATCTCCCCGATGACTGGTACTCTCATAAATACATTAGCCAATGAAAAAAATATTTTTCAGAGTATTAAGAGAAAGATCCACCGCCGGGAAGCCTCACCAAGGTCTATCCAGGGAGCCCAGGGGTCTATAGGCTGTGACCATGATGCCCTTGGAGTGGCAGTACTGGATCAGTTTCTCCTGCGTGAGGTATGGGTGACACTCAATCTGCAAAAGCAAATAATCCCCATCACTAGGGAAGCTGAACTGCTTTTTCAGCTGCTCATGTGGAGTTCTACACACAAAAAACACCACCAAGCTGAGACCAAACACCTGGCCTGTAATAGACCTGCTACACCAGAACCCAAGATCTGTCTCGCACCTCCCCAAACTGTCCTCATCACTGACCCTTGATATGAGATTCAGTACACGGCACTGAACTTGCCTCCAAATGTTTAAGAAGTAACAGGACAAGAATCTTCACCTTTCACTAAGCAGATTTTACCTGGTTAGTCACTGGTCTATGTTTCAGGCCAGGTTTGTTCAAGAGCCTTTCAATCTGGAAGTGATTGAAGTTGGAGACACCAAGGGCTTTCACCAGCCCCTCATCCACCAGCTCCTCCATGACCTGTCATAGAGAAGAATACCACTGGGCAGTCCTAGAGTGACTTCAGGGACCCTAGTTTGTCTTAAACCTCTCTGCAGCAGGTTGATAAAGGATCCCCTGCAGAGGGTTTACTGAAGTATTAAAAGGAAATTTCAACCCAAGCCATGGGTGCCCATTAAGGATTGATTCCAGCTTTATGCTCCTTCAGAGCCTGAATGAAATAGTTGTCGAAGTTCAAGGTTTTATGTGCTTGCAGCTCTCACCTCACCCAAAGCTGGGTGTTGGACAGCCAGGGAAGGATCTATGGCACGTAGAATGGCACCATGTCTGGGCTCTGGGTGACTCTCCCATGTCAACCATGCTTTGGTTTGCAGTGTGGGAATGTCATGCAGAGACTGTGCCTTGGCAGGGACACCAGCTCCAGAGTCGTATGGGGCTGAAATCTGCCCACTGTCCACTTACCCAGCCATGCTCCCTGCCATGGAAACTGCATGGACCCCAACAAAGGGTATCTTTTTATAATTTCTAACCTACAAGAGCTTTTTATAAACTCACACCCAAATAGCATATATGTTAGCCACAGCCCCAAATTTAACATGCAGTTATTGTCCACTTGTTATATGTCCAGATCATGTCCAGGAGTTGTTGGGATATAAAAGTCCTCAATGTGCTTCTGTATCATGGGAGCCCCAGATCTGAGAGGGCACTAGTGTAGTTTTTGCCTATTCCAAAGAACTCACCTGGTATTTCAACAGGTAGAGACATCAATTTATTAGACTTATGGCAGTCGCTGATGGCAGCTGGCCATCTAGATATCTGCACTGCCATGGGGTGCACACAACAGTTAACAGGTCAAAGTCAGGGTGTAAATCATTTGCAAGCTTATGCACAGACCTTTACCCAGCTTATATAACTCAGATCACGTGGGAGACCTGGCTGAGTAGATAAAGTTAATCTGCTCCCTACTCTCCTGGTGTCAGAGTGCTTTAGCACCAGCATGCTAATTTATTTACTTAGGGTCCCTGCTTCCTCCAGTCTTCATTTGTCTTAAAGGGGATGTACCCTTCCTTGGGTAACTACCTTGGCCAGGGGTAGTTTCCCAGAGCGGAGGGGGAACTCTGGTATGCGTGAGATGGGGGAATAGAGCTATGTCAAGCACTTACCCTACAGCTTCCTTCTTCTGAAATTCTTTACAGACCACTTAAAGTGCTGGAGCTCCCTTCTGTGTAGCTCTCAGCCAGGTTGCTGACTGGTGCTCAGCTCATTTGACAGTGGCAGAGCACTGAAAGTCAGGGAAGGCACAGAAAAAAGGGACTCACAGGCACCAAAGTCATCAGGGGAGACATTCTGGCTGGAGCTTAAGCTGGGCCTCAAAAAATAACTTGGACAAAGAGGAAAAAACAAGAGCAGGTATGGGAGGGGACAGAGGCAAATGCTTACAGTGGGGATTAGCATTACATGTGCAGGGGACTCTCAATGCAGTGGTTCTCACCTTTGGCTGTGATCTGGAATCACCTGGAGATTTAAAAAAATACTCGTGCCTGGGTTCCACCCCCAGAGTTTCCTACTGATTTCATCTGGGGTGTAGCCTATGCATTGAGATTTTTTAAACTCAGGTGATTTTAAAGCACAGTCCTAGCTGAGACCCTCCAGTGCAGATGATGAAGGTCTTCAAACTGGGAAAAGCAGTTTAGAATTGATCACATCATAAGGTTCCTAAAACGCCCGGGTGCACCATGAGACAATAGGAAGGCATTTGTTTGCCACAATTCGGGTTTAGTTTGCTTGCATGATCCACCCTCACTTCTTTACACTTTCTTTCCTCCCCTCTGCTTCAGGGTGGTCAAAGAGGTTTTGACTGAACTGGTTGTGGGGTCACATGAACACCCAGTGCTTCTCTATTCAATCCTGCCTGTGTCACATTTGATATCTTTTGATGCCTTTAAAATGTTTTATTTAGCGATCATTCTTGTATTCATTCAGAAGACATAGCACTGTGGAAATCAGGGCACTTTTTGCAGAGGACAATGATATAACTGCCATACTTAATGACATCATAGGAGCTAGGGCAAGAGATCCTGTGGAACCCACATTAAATGTATACAAGTCTCCACCTCTCACAACAAATAATTCCTAAGATATTTAAGAGGCCATGTTTTGCCTGGGTAATATACATGACAGAGCCCTCCTATTGAATTTACTGCAAAGTTGAGTGCAAAAATCTTAGGCTATCTTGTGAGTCTTGATTCAATTTTTATTCTCTAGAATAAAATATTTGTTGGGTTGAGTCCATGCACATAA